GGGGAGAAGGATGGAGAGGGCACAAGTGTGTACGTCTAAATATAGAAGGTCAGAGGAAGGACCTCAGAACCCAGAACGGCTCTGACATTCCATAATGTCAAAGCTATAAGGGACCATAGTCCATAGAATGGAGGAACTTGGAGTGCCCTAAAAACATAGATCGAGCATTCAAGAAGGATTTATTTAGCACCTATGGTGTGCCAAGCACTGAGCTGGATGCTGAGTTAGAAAGTATTCTTAGGATTTCAAGAGGCCAACGTGGGAAGGAAGTGTATTTCAGGCTCAAGGGATGGCCTAGGCAAAGACACGGGTAGGAGATGGGAAATCATTTAAGACTGGAAATCATTAATAAGGGAAGTTGGAAACAGGCTGTGAAGGGCTTTCAGAAATAAACAAAAGAGTCTGTATTTGATCCTAGGGGTAATAGGGAGCCACTGGAATTCATTGAGCAAGGGAGTAACATGGTTGAAACTGTGCCTTGAGAATATCTCTCTGGCAGCTGTTCAAGGGATGGATTGGAGGGAGGAGAGATCTATGGCTAGGAAACCAGTTAGGATTCTAGTGCAATAGTCTTGGCAAGAAATAGAGAGGATCTGAACTAGGGTGGAGCCATGTGAGCAGGAAGAAGGGAATCCATGTCAAAGGTCATAGAATCATAGATCAGAGTGCCAGAGCCATCAGAATCTTTGACGATGACCTAATCCAACGTCTTCATTGGAGGAAGGAGGAGGAAGCTGAAGCCTGAGAAGGGAAGGGACTTGTCCAAGGACACAGAAGGCCAGTGTCTAAGCTGAGACTCAAAACTACAGTCTCCCAAGTGCCCGTGTAGGGTCCTTTCGAGCATGTCACACTGGGAGTTCTCAGATCTACACTGATGGGACAGGCCTTAAGTGTCTGCATGATTGAGTGTTGGTGTGAGAGTGTGTGTGTGTGTGTGTGTGTGTGTGTGTGTGTGTCTGCCTGCTCATATCTATGTCCATTCAATTCAATCATATGAACATTTATTAAATACTGTGTTAGGTGCTGTGCTAGAGGGTAGACTTCCATGACCCAGAATTTGGAAATTTCTCTATATGACAGCTATCTCCTGGCCTTCCATCTCTTCCCAAGCTTCATTTCTCTTCCATCCTCACCATGACCTCCAGCCCTTTATTCCTTCAGGCCATCACCCCTACACTGGCATTACTTTCCTCCCTTCCTAATCTTGACTTTGTAGCTAACCAATTCAAATATATGCTGCAGTCTACTTTCAATTCCCTTACTCCCTTCTCCTATTGTAGCCTATCCTTTGCCAAATCCCAACCTACGATAACACCCTCCCCCTACAGAACTCCTCCCCCCTCCAACCTTATCTACTCCTATTCGTATACAGCTGAATGGCATTAGAGGAAGTCTTAGCACTGTGTGGATCAGTGCCTAATCTCAATGGTCTTTCATTGTCACTAGGTAATCCCTCATTGAAAACTGACTCATACCACACAGGCTGCTGCAAACCTCTTTTCTCTTCTGGTCTTCCTTCTGCACTATCCCCTCCCAAATCTCTCTCAGCAGAGGGCTTGTTGTCACATTTGACTGAGAAAATGATGGACATTCTCCAGCAAGCTGCTCTTCTCCCCTACGTCACATCTCAAAACTCCTTGACATGCCCCTATTTGATCTTCTTTCACTCCAGCTTCTGATGAGGAAGCAATCCTTCTCATTGCCATGGTGAATTCCTCTTCTCATGCCATTAATCCCATCCCTTCCTTTCTCCTCTGGCAGATCAATCGTCTCTCTCTGTCTCTCCATCTCTTCTCTGTCCCTTTCTTTCTGTCTCTGTCTCTCCATCTCTGTATTCGTGTCTGTCTCTGTGTCTCTGTCTCTGTCTCCTGGTTCCTTCTCTGCTGCCTACAAACATGCTCAGGTCTTCTCCACCCTTAAAAAAACCCCCAAAACCTCCCCTTGGCACCACCATTTCCTGAAGCTATCATTCTATACCTCTCTTCCCTTTCACAGCCAAATTCCTAGAAAAAGCTGTCCACCCTCATCTCCACTCCTCTTCTCACACTTTCCTCAACCTCTTGTAAATACGGCTTTGAACCTCATCATTGAACTAAAATTGTTCTCTCCAAGGTTACTAATGATCTTTTGATTGCCAAATCTAATAACCTGTTCTCAGTCCTCATCCTTCTTGACATCTCTGCAGCATCTGATACTGTAATTAACATTCCATTCTCCTGGATACTTTCCTTTCCTTAGATTTTCCTGACATCTTTATCTCTACCTGCCAGGCTGCTCCTTCTCTATCCCATTTGAGATAGCCTTGACCCACCCTCTAAGGCTGTTCTCTGTGTCTCTGTCCTCAGCCCTATTGTCTGCTGCAGCTAGGTGGCACAGAAAATAGTCAGGAAGACCAGAGTTCAAATGTGGCCTCAAACACAGACTAGCTATGTGACTCTGGGCAAGTCAGCCGACTATTCTCAGCCCAAGCACTCTCAACCTCAGTTTCCTCATCTGTAAAATGGGGATAATGAAAAGGCTGTTGTGAAGATCAGATAAAATAACATGTCTTACGGTGCCTTGCAGACTTTAAAGTACTATATAATGCTAGCTATTCTTCTTCTTCTTCTCTTTTTATCCCCTCCCTTGATGATCTCATCATCTTTCTTGGGTTGTTATCTCAATGAAGATGACTCCTAGATCTCTATATTTACCTCTAGTCTCTTTCCTGAGCTCAGGTCTTATTAGACATTTCCAAATGGATGTCCCATGAACATCTTCACTTTAACGTCTCCAAAAGAGAACTCACTTTATTCTTCCTACCCCGCTCCTCTCATAACTACCTTATTTCTGTTGGTGGCACCACCAGCATTTCAGCCAGCTATGTTCACAGCCTTAGAGCTGTCACTGAAGCTTCCTTTGCCCTGAAGCCTCGTATCCAATCAATTGCCAAGTCTTGTCAATTCTACCTCCATGACATCTCTTGCATCTGCTCTCTCCTCCCAGATCACACCACCCCATCCCTATTTCGGGTCTTCACCTCTTGCCTAGACTTTTGCAACAACCCTGCTTTCACTCTCTCATCTCTCCAATCCATCCCCCACACAGCTGCCAAGTTGATATTGCTAAAGCACACATCCATGGTATTACTCCCCTGCTCTAGGAATTCATATTGCCTCTGGGGCCCAGTACAGACTCCCTAGCTTTGCATTTCAAGCCCCAAATAATCTTGTTCTATCATCCCTTCCCAGGCTTATTACACATTTCTCCCTTTCATGCATTCTACCTTCTAGCCAGACTGGCCTACTGCTCCCTGTTCATGCAAATCTATCCCATCTCTGCACCTTTGCACACGGTGTCCTCCATACTCAAAATGTGCTTCCTGTTGTCTGCCTCTGGGAATTCCTAACTTCCTTCAAGGCTCAAAAGCCTCTGCAGCAGGCTTTCATAATCTTATCTATTGATAGTATCCTTCCCTCTAAAATTATATTGTCTTTACCTTGTACATACTTTGTATGTTCTTCTCAGTCAATAAGCATTTGTTAAGCACCTATTGCATACCAGGCACTGTACTGCTCTGTGGACCTCTTGTATATAGGAGAATATAAGTCCTTTGAGAATTGGGAGGGGCAGCTAGGTGGTACAGTGCAATCTCCAGCCTTGGAGTCAGGAGGACCTGAGTTCAAATCCGACCTCAGACACTTGACACTAGCTGTGTGACCCTGGGCAAGTCACTTAACCCCGATTGCCTTACCAAAAAGCAATGAGAGAGAGGGAACTGGGACTATCTTGTTTTTGTCTAGCAAATAGTAGGAGCTTAATAAATGCTTATCAAATGAATACGAAGATAAAAAGGAAGCAGTTCTTGCTCTCAAGGAGCTCATACTCTACTGGGGGGGGGTGACAGAACAAATGCAAAGATAAGGAAATATAAGTAATGTACAAAGTAAATACCAACATTAGGAGAAAGAGCCCTAACAAGAAGGGAAGTCAGAAAAGCCTCAAGTGGCACTTGAGCTGAACCTGAAGGGAGCTAGGGATTCCTAGAGGCAGAAGTGAGGGAGAAGGGCAATCCAGGAATGGGGATTGCCTAAGCAAAGGCAAGGGGGGGAGGAAATGGAATATCGTTTGTGAGCAAGTAGGCCAGTTTGACAAGGTGCCTGAGGAGGGGCTGTGTGAAATAAGCCTGGAAAGAGAAGCTGGTGTCAGATGGTGAAATGCCAGGCGGAGGAGTTTGCATTTTATCTTAGAATCTAGAGGGAGGTCCTAACGCTTCTAAGAATGTATCTGTTTATCTGGCTTCCTCTTCCCTCTCCCCCAAGGAAGCCCAATAACCACAAGAGAAGAGAGTTACACCTTGAATTAAGGACTATTCCTTTGTTTCTGGTACTTCATCTCTAAAATTGGATCAGATGAGGACAAAAGATTCCTTCTGTTTCTTTTTTAAACAAATTTTTGTTGTTATCTTTTGTTTTATATCACTTACATTACCCAACATATCTCTTCCCTCTGTCTCTCCCAGAGAGCCACCTCTTTTAAGAAAGAATAAAAAAAGAGAGGAGAAAATAGTTTGGCACCACTAGGAAGGAAGGAAACAAACATTTATTAAGCACCTACTACGTACCAGGCACTGGGCTAACCCCTTTACAAATATTATCTCATTTGATCCTCATAACAACCCTGGGGGGTAGGAGCTATTATTATCCCCATTTTATAGTTGAAGAAACTGAGGTATGCAGATGTTAAGTGACTTGCCCAGGGTCACATAGTAAGTATCTGAGGATGAATTTGAACTCCTAACTCCAGGGCAGTGCTCTATCCACTAAGCCACCTCAAAGTAGATCAAGAAGTCAGGCATTTTCTGTAGTATTCATATGCAAAATGCAGAAGGAAGTAGTTTTTCATCTGTCTTCTTTGGGGCCAGCCATGGCTCTTATATTTTCACAACATTCAATTTTTGTTGTTTCGTGGTGATTCTTTCCATTTATATTATTGTAGTCATCATATATATTGTTTTCCTGGTTCTGCTTGCCTCAATCTGCATCAGTTCCTATAAATCTTCCCATGCTTCTCTGTAATCATAGTCATCATTGCTTTCAACATAGTAATACAGACCAACATATTCATGTGCCAGAACTTGCTTAGCTATTCCCCAAAGCATGGACATCTGCTTTGTTTCTAGTTTTTTGCTACTACAAAATTGATATTATAAGTATGTAAGGGGGAAGGGGACTTGATTCCTACACACACACACACACACACACACACACACACACACACACACACACACACACACACACCCTCAGTGTTATATCCTCTCTAGGCTACCTCCCAGAGAGCAGCTACTACTTCTATGGGTTTTAGCTTACTTGCGGGTATAGGCTCCTTCCACTAGAACTCGAGTCTCCACAGGTGTATTGCCAATAATAACCAGCCAAAAAAAACAAACAGAAAAGGAAAAACCCTCCGCACCCATTAGTACCAAAAAGAACTTTTAGGATTTCCCATTCTGCTGTGTTTTTTAACGATCAGCGTGATATCTGAAATCATCATCTTTGACCCATACATAGCCCTTTGAGGAAACACCTTTGGTCTCTCGTGTGAAGTTCTCCTTAGCCGAAGGGGAAAAAAACCAATCAGCCAGTAGACACAATGTGCTCTCAGTAGAGGCATTTACTCAGCATCTGTGGGAAGAGTGAATACAAAACCACTAGAATAGAATAGTAGTGAAGAACATGAATAAGGAACCCATGGGGCCAAGGCAATTCGCAGCTGTGGAACTACAGGGACCCAGCATTCATTCTCTCCTAGTAGAGTCCTCATAAAAGTCCTCTGGAAGACAGTGTCCCTTCCTCAGTCTGCTCCTCACCAAATCTCACATCTAAATTGCCAGGAGTAGCTCTCTCTTCAGTCCATCACTAGCTTTTTTTGTTGCCACCAGAGGTCCTGTTCATTGAAACTGCTTCTAGCCCTGGCCTCAACTGTCACTCTCATCTGGGTCTGTCTAGGGGGTGTGCCTTTGCTCCCTCAAATTCTCTGAAATGGATTCTCCAATTGCTAGGTGTCTCCTCCTGAGTCAATAGCTTCTCAACCAGATGACAGAGGAGGAAAGGGAGGAAGAAAAGGAAATTCTCTCCTCCTCTCCCACCATCCTGCCTACCCCCCTAGGAGATGAAGAGATGGGTTCCTCTGAAACTGCTGAGCACCTCCAGTGCTTAGAATATGAGACAGCTTGGTAGCACAGTGGATAGAGCACTGGACCTAAAGTTAGGAAGATCAGAATTCAAATTCAGCTTCAGACACAATGTGAACCTGGGCAAGTCACTTAACCTTGGTTCTTCATTTCCACTTCTTCATTTCTTCAGCTGCTAAAATGGGGATAATAATAGTTCCTGACTCCCAGGATTGATATGAGGATCAAGTGAAATAATATTTATAAAGTACTTGGCCTATATAACTGTATATTCCCTTCCCTTTATTCCCCCTTTATTCTTCTCTCTTCTGATTCAATTAGAGAGAGGCGGTACTACTCTGTAAAGGCATAATAGGGGGTAACAACTTGTTATGGCATTAAAACCTTGTTATCTGTAATTATCTGGTGGCTACATCAGTTAGCAGAGAGGAGAACCAGGTTCCTCTCCTTTGGTGTATCCAGATGAATTTCTTTTTATCGACCTCCTTGGCATATACATCTAGCTCTGCAACCTCTAGGTCAAAGGCCATAGACATTTTCACCACTTTCTTCAAATCATTCCAGATTGCTTTCCAGAATGCTTGGACCAGTTCACAGCTCCACCTAGAGCACATTTGTGGGTCCATCTTTCCACAAGACCTCCAACGTTAACTGTTCTCAGCTTTCATCTTCTTTGCCAGTTTGCTGTGTTAAGTTCTGGGATTCTCTGCCTCAGGTCTAATTATCATCAACCTTAAAAGTGAAAGCCTGTCCTGGGGGTCTTGCTCTCCCTTCATTTGTTCCTGTAAGCCCCTTATTCCAGTTCAGGGAAGGGGACAGCTGGGGTCACCTGGAGTTCTTCATCACATCCCAGTGGTTCCCTTTCTTCACTGCCACCATTGAGAAGGACTCCTGAGGGGAATGTTTCCATCTCTCCCCTTCTAGCACTCACTTCTTTTCTCTGCTTCTGGTAAGGTGGACAGAGACCAGAGCTGGGAGGTCCCAGCCTCGAGCTCCCGTACTACCTAGCTCTGCCTGTGGGACACTGGGTGAATTCCTCCCTCTCTCTGGGTTTCTTCTGGAAAATGAGGGAGGTAGACAAAATGTCCCCGCATTCTTTCTAGTTCTGATATTCTATGGCCTGCAGCAGAAGGGCCTTCCCAACACTGAATTCTGTGTTCTAAGAGGCCTCCCAGCTCTGACATCCTTTCTTCTAAGGGCTCTCCCAGATCTGATACTCTCTGTTCTAAGGGCCCTCCCAGATCTGATACTCTGGTTTCTAAGGGCCCCACAGAGCTGACTCTGTGTTCTAAGGGCATCCCCCTCCATCTTTGACATTCTGGGTTCTAAGGATCCTCCTAGCTCTAGAGTTCTCTCTTCTAAGGTAACTTCCTTATCTAACATTCTGTGTTCTGTGCTGTAAGGACTTGCCCAGCTTTGACTGTGAGATTGTAAATCTATAGGGAAGAGATCTCCACTCTTGCCAGAGAACAAAAGGGTTTGCTGGGGAGTTGGAGGGTCTCTATAGGAGACAGCTTCCGTCTCTGCCTCAGGGTGCTTAGTCTGTAATAGTCATTCATCCTTAAGATCACTAATTAAAACCTTAATTATCACTTTAGGATTCTGAAGTGCTTGTCTTGTTTGCTCATCGGAACATCACAGTAACATAGGTAATACAGAGATTCTCATCCCCATCTTACAGGTGAGGAAACTGAAGGTTAGAGAGGTTATGCCCAGGGTCACTCAGATAATTCAAGTCAGAGGTCTGAAAGGCAGGAATCCAAGTGGGAATCTCTTCTAAGTGTCGTACTGGATAACAAATCCAATTTCTGCACTGCCTTAATGTTTGCAAAGCACATTCCTCAAGCTCCCGGGGGGAAGAGAGGAGCTGTAGGTATTGCACCTGGAACCTGGTCTTAAAGCCCTCGGTGTTAGCAAGCCTGGATATGGAGCCTTTTGCGAAGACTGAGCTGTCTCGGAGCTCACTGAGCCCTGCCCCGTCCCGCCCCTCCCCAACACCCCTCCCCTCTCCCGTCCTCCCCCACCCTGCGCGCAACTCACCTTCTCCACCTAGCGGCCGGAGTGAGAAAGTGCCAGTCTCTGCCTGTCTCCACGAGCGGACAAGGTCGGCCAAACTAGGGAGGGAGACAAGGGCCGGTGCCTTTTGAATGCCATCGTTTCCATCCTTTGCCTTATTAGTGAGTTAATTGGGGCTGCTGACTAGCGGTTTGATCATCTAAAATCACGTTGTAAGAATTTGAGCTAACAGATCATCAGTCTATAAGCATTAACTAGCCACCTGCTGTATGCCAGGCACTGTTCTAAGCACTGAGGGTACAGTCTAGTCCAGTCTAGATGAGAAAACTGACGGCCAGAGAGAAGGAAGTGGCTTAGGATGATCAGTTTGGAGCAAGAAGGGAACCTAGAAGCTAAGTCAACCCCCTCATTTTAGACGAGACAATTAAGGCACAGAGGAATCAAGTGACTTGACCCGGGTCAATCAGCTAGGAAATACCAAAGGTGTGAACTAATGCTGCCTCTCCTGTTTGCCCAATGTCACAGAAGGAATCAGTGAGAGAAAGACAGAGAGGCCAAGGGAAAAAGGAGTCCTGTTTGTCAGTCGTCAATTTTAAAGAACCCTAGAATGGAAGTCAGGAGATCCACCACACCCTAGTCCCCACCTCAGTCACAAAGAAACCAACTGTAGCCAAATCATTTCCCCTCAGCTTCCTCTTCTGTAAAATGGGTAGTTTGCACAACGCAGGCCCCTAGGCCCTCAGGGACCTTACTAGCTCTGGGGCCCAGCCGAAGGTAAATTTCTGAAACAAAAGTTACAGGCAGGAATGAAAATTGATCTTGTACCTTCCCCCAAGCAATGTGCAGGGCTAGTCCCCTATTGGCTCTGGGATCTGGGACACCTCCTGAAATGGGCGGACCCAGTCATGGAAGAAGCCCACCTGGATGCAAAAAGCCTGCCCTCTGGGAAGAGTGAGACTTTCACTAGGTCTGGCATCCTGTGATTCCTGGCATGGTGGGGAATGCCACTGCCTTCCCTCTCATGATTACCCTCAATTTATCCTATCAGTTGTTTGCATATTGTCTCCCCCAGTAGACTGCAAACTCGTTGAGGGCAAGGACTGTCTTTTACCTTTCTTTGTATCCCCAGTACTTAGCACAGTGCCTGGCACAGGGCAGGTGCTTATTAAATGCTTATTGATCGACTGGATTTGAAGGCAGAGCACCTGAGCCTCGGTTCCGGCTCAGCCTTACTTTCCCAACCTTGGGCAAATCCCTTTCCCTCAGTTTCCCTGTCTGAAATAAGGCAGTTGGATTAGATGGCCTCGAGGGCCCTTTTAGCATTACATCTATGACCCTAGCATTATTCATTCTCCATTCCTAAGAGTCCCAGCTGTCTCCATCCCTACTTGGAGAGTTCCACTCTCAGTCTCCTTCTCCCCTCTGGCCCCTTCCCTCCTCAAGTTCCTTCTACCTCCAGTTCAGCCTTGAGTCTGAGAAGTGTAGCCAGAGAAATAAGAGGTTGAGGCTGGAAATGAAGAATGGCAGGGGGAGTGGGGGGGTTCAGTGCTTCAGCATGGAAAGGACGGTGATCCAGGATGCCATGGAAGTCTTCAGATGGGCCAAAGCACCTCCTCCCCATCCCACAAACACACAGACATGCTCCAAAGGGCAGGGCTCAGAGCCCTGGCATCTCCCAGGGGAAGGGTAGGAGCTAAAATTAGGCCAGGGCCAGCTATGGGATTATTTTTACCCTCTCAGAGCCAGCAGGGCACTTTCCCACCAGGTGTTGGGTTGCAGAGATAGGGGAGTAAAGGGGGGGGGCAACTCAGGCTGTCCTGGTAACCTCTAGGAGGCTCCTTGGTATCAAGCCCCTGAGGCTGGACTTAACTAGGCACCCTGGTTCAGGCAATACTTTCTGAAAATGGAAATTAGTTGCTGGGAGAATGAGAATGTGGACAGTCAAACCCAGATCTACACACACCCACAGAAACATTGAGACCAACATCCTCAGACCCTTCCCCCCCAATACACAAGCCACACAAACACCAAAACATTGACTTCCAGACAGACATGTCCCCATTCAGAATTACAAAAATCTCAAAATCAACGAGACATACTTCCAAACCTAGACACACATGTAAAGACCCACAGAAAAACTCAGACCTCAAAAATACAACCCTCAGAAACACCAAGATAGCCAGTCAGACCCAGAAATACACACTAATGCAATGAAATCATCACACACTGAAATATACAGAATCACAGATGTCCCATACACCCATAGCCAGACTCGGAAACACACCCTACTCCAGTGAAACCAATGCGCATTGAAACATACAGAAACACCTAGATACCCACAGTCAAACCAAGAGACACACACTAATCCAGAGAAACCAACACACACTGAAACAAACACCTACACCCCTACCAGGGGACTCACAAACAGGCTAACCAACAAACAGTGAAACATACAGACCTACAGAAACACCAGGATCATTATACTTTGATCTAGAAATATACCTTCAACCTCTAAACCTGCTGAAATACCAAGACGAACATTTCTAGACACTTCACACTTTCTCATCCAGACTCAGAAACCCACACAAACCCAGACACAAGAGACCCAAAGGAATACCAAAACATTCTTCTGAGTCTGGACCCAGTCCTTTCCTACCACACAAACAGAAACACCAAGGCCTCCAGCACCATCCTCAGCCTTAGAAACACCCACCCAGGTCTACAAAGGCAAACATACAGATCCATAGAAACCCTGAGATATAAAACCCAGACCCAGAAACATATCCAAACCAGAGAAACACTGACACTCCCTCTTACCCAGACCCAGAAATACATAGATATTTAAACAAAGATCCAGAAACAAATGGAGTTCCATACACACACACAAACTGAAATATACCCAGACACAGGAATACTGATCAACCCACCTCATCCCCACCCCTGCCCCTTGCCCCAAACAGAAATGGAAAAAATCCAAATATTAATGAAGACCTTGCTGCCTGCAGGGCTTTAATCATGCTAGAAGTACTACAGATATTTTTCAAAAGGTCCAAAACTTGTCTTGCTCCTTAAGGGAGATGTGACATCTCCAGAGATAGTTACAGTACAATAAATAACATGACTGAGGGACAGCATGAAGTGCCAGAAAGAAGACTGGCCTTCAAGTCAGCGGGACCTGGGTTCAAATCTTGCCTCTGAAACCTTAGATCTATGCCCCCAGGCAGCTCTCTAAGACTTTGTTAAAGAATTACAAGTTTTAGTTGGTACAGAGATTTCCCTATACGAAGGAAACCTCACCTTCTGCCCTAACTCTACCCCAGCCAAAAAAATATAAATACCTGAGTACACACCAACCCAGACCTTTGCTTATAATCACACAGACACACAGACATACACACAAAGACACACATACACACACACACACACACACACACACAGCCCAAACTCACAGATGTGTACTCAGATGCACACACCCACCAAGCAGAAGAACCCTTTGGGGTTCCAGATGGCTTCTTTGAGGTCTGAGTGCTATTGGCCTCGCCTCTAGCACCCTACCACCACCACCCCCTCCATGGAGGCTGGAGCAGCTGCTCTGAGGGAGGGATAGTTGGAAGGAAAGGGAGGGGGAATGTTTTTAAGCTTCTAAGAGTTTTCATTGAAAGAGACTTTTAGATATGATTTAGCATTTTACAAACGCAGAAACTAAGACCCAGAGAGTTTAGATGATTTATCTATAGTTATAGTGGAACTCAAATTCAGGTCATCTGATTCCAAATCTAGCACTTTCTGGAGAAAAGGACCCCACCCCACCCCAACTAAGGTAGGGTGTGAGGTTGGTCCCAGGTGGGAGGGAGGCGTAGAACTCGGAAGAAAAGGAGCCCTGGGAATGAGGTGGGCTGTGTGTGTCGGTGACAGCCGGGTCTGCTCTGTGTCTCCCCCGCCTCCCTCTCCAGTCCGGTTCGGAGGCCCCGCAGAGAATGGTGGAGGGGGGGGTCGGAGAGTGGTGGGAAGAAGAGACAGCCGGATGTTTGGCAGATCAGAGCTCGGGACCGAGAAAGAAAGATGAGTCCTGGAGAGGAGAGCAGGGTCTGGTCTGTGTCATGGGCTGCTTAGGGGGCCAGGAGTCTGGGTCCCAGGGAATGAGCCTCTCCCCCACCCACTCCTTTTTCTTTTCGCCCCCCTTTCCGAGTCTCAGCTCTAGCACTGAGCTGATAGTCGGATTCCAGCTCTGGCGCCCAACAGAGTCTGTTGTGGGGAAGGGGAAGGGGAAAGGAGGAAGGGGGAGGGAAAGAATGGGGACAGCCTTGGCCCTGGGGCCCCGCCCCCTACCCCCCTCCCGCCTAAAGCACTCTAACACTTTATGAGCCCAGTTGAGTTCAAGTCAGGCCGGCTACAGAAGAGACACAGACAGAGACCGGGACAGAGACTGAGATAGAGGCGCAGCTGGTGGTGATGAGGCTACAGACAAGACTTAGAAAGAGAGATGTGTTAGTGGGACAAGGTCTGAGACTGAGAGACAGGGAAAGAGAGATGGAGCAAGCGACAAGACAAGAAACTGAGAAGCCGAGAAAGCAAGCTTGGGACAGAGAGAGACAGAGTTAGAGACAGAAGCAGGAGCGGAGAAACTGAGTCAGAGTTGAAGAGCAATAGAGAGAGGAGGAAGATGAGGAGGGAAGTGAACGGCAGTGACAGAGAGTGAGCCAGGTTTGGAGCGGGACCCTGAAAGACAGAGCGAGCCTAAGAGCAAAGTGGGGCGGGGCGGACCCCCTCTTCCTGGGCCCAAGCCAGGCCCCCAGCTGCGGACCGGGCGGGAAGAAGAGACTTTTGGAGAGTGAGCTTCGAGGTGGGGTGCCGAGGGCACTGTACTCTGTGTTTCTGTTCTTCCGGCTGCCCCAGCAGCCGGCCTGACCCCCGCTCGCAGTCCCGGGACCCCCCCGGAAGCCCCGCCCCGGCGACGGGCGGAGAAAAAGACCCGACGCGGAGAAAGGGACACAGATACACCGAGTGACACACTGAGAGGGGTGGGGGGGGGGGAGGGACAGAGACGGAGAGAGACGTACGCAGCCAGAGACACCCCGAGACAGAGATCTACGCTCAGACAGAGAGACCCATAGCCACCCAGAAAGAGCTAGAGAGAACCCAGAGGCAGCAGTCTGGGAACCTTCGAGGGGCCGGCCAGCCATGCTAGGTGGGCAGCGCAGCCCCCCGGGCCCTGGACCAGGCGCCCCCTCCTCACCAGTCGGGTCTCCTCGGGCTTCCCCGCGCAGCTCTCCCGGGCTCTTCAGGAAACTGCTGGTAAATCAGAGCATCCGACTGCAGCGTCGCTTCACCGTGGCCCACCCTCTCTGGTGAGCTTCGCTTCCCACTTAGGGGACTGCCCCAGGGATGGAGGAAGGGGGTCCCGGGAGGGAGGGATCTTTGGGACCTGCCAAAGAGACAAGTACCTAGACCCACATACTAAGCCTGAGGGAGGGGAAAAGACCGACAGAGGAACACCGGCAGGTGTAGACGCAAGCAGAGACAGGCAGAGGCAGAGACAGATGGCAAACTTGAGACCAAGGCCACAATACACATCCCTGGAACTCCAAAGAATGAGAGGCAGAGATTAAAACTGAGAGTCAGAGAGGAAGGCCTCCAGGCCGGACAGAAAGAAACAGAAAAGAGGCCAGTGGAAAGAGATGGAGACCCAGAAAGAGGCTGAAATGGAGAACCAGAAACAGAGGCTCAAAGAGAAACTAATAGAGAAAAAAGTGATGGAGACAGTAGGAAGCAAGAGGCTGTATTCAGAGACTGGGAGACTGGGATGCAGCTGGTGTCAGAGACAGAGGCAGGGGACACAGACCAAGGGGCAGAGAAAAGAGCAGAAGGCTAGGCCAAGACTGGAGGGGGGGTGGAAGAGCAACTTCTGGCACAGGAGGTGGGGGTGTGGGTAATGTGTCCTTGTCCTCTCTCCTTTGGCTTCGTGGGACACTTGGCCCCACCCCATCCTTGGCTCTGGGACAGCTACTGAGAGCGCCTGGGTCCTGATGGCACAGGCCCAGGCTAAGTGTTGGGCTAGGCTCTGACCTGAGTATGGGAATGGTAGAGAAATCCTTCTTCAGACAGAGTAGTGGAGGGCCTGGGGGAGATCCCTGAAGACCCCAGAAATGAGATGTTTGGAATGGGGATGGCTGGGCTCCCTCATCACGGGAGGCCTTAGGGCCCGAACATGTCCCTCTGTACCTGGTATCTTAGCTCTGCTGTAAGTCAAGACTTAGCCCCAAACCTTCCAGTCTCTCCTCTTCTTTCCCCTTTCTGGGCTGCCTCTCTCTGGGCATCCCCCTTATTAGACCCTATTTCTGGGCCTCGAGCCAAAGGGTCAAAAGCTTTGAATTCAGGGTCAGAGCATCAGGGCAGTGAATAGAGCACTGGTCCTGGAGTCAGGAGGTCCTGAGTTCAGATCTGGCCTCAGACATTGACACTAACTGTGTGACCTTGGGCAAGTCACTTAACCCCATTACTTACCCAAAAAAAAGGAAAGAAAAAAAAAGGTCAGAACATCTAGGTTCAAAACCTGATTCTGCTCTTCTGTGTGCTTTGGAAAGTCATTGAATTTCCCAGGGGCTCCCATCACACCTCTGGAAAATGAGGGGCTTGACCAGCTCATCTCAGGGTCTTTCCAGCTTTAATCTTAGGATCTCCAACAAGACATCTGCTCTAGATCAGTCAGTCAATGGGAAACTGACTGTAATTCCTCCCAAGGGAACCTGGAGTTTCAAGATGCTCACTGTGGACCCACTTGCTGCTCCTCCGTTCCTAGGCCCTATAGGCCTCGTTTTAATGTTCCAAATAAGCTGGTCCAAAGTGGGTTTTCCCACCCTGGTACCAGGAGGGGATTGTCTCCTTCCCAGGCCTCCATCTTGTAGGAATCCCATAACAGCTCCATTCGTCCTTAGTCCTCCCGACTACACACACGCACACACTCACGCACGCACGCATGCACGCACGCACGCACGCACACACACACACACACACACACACACACGCACGCACACACGCACACACCTGCCCATTTGCCTCCTGTTTCTAAGCTGTCAAATTATACTGGGAGGGAAAAAAAATGGGCTGGGGCTAGAGTTTCAGTTTAGGGCTGGAGAAGGGAGAGGAGAGCAGAAGGAAAGGATAGAAGGTATCAGTGAATGCTGTCTTGGGCTCCATTAAAGGACGCGTGGTGTCCCAAACAAGGAAGGTGTTAGGAAGGACACAAAGTGCAGAGTGAGGGAAGGATGCAAAGCCTAGAGAAAAGATTCCGGGTGGGGAGAGGTGAAGGGTGTGGGGGGGGAGCACAATCACCGTCTTCAAGCATTTGAAGGGCTATCGTGTGAAAGAACAATTAGTCTCTCTGCTTGGCTACCGAGGGCAGATCTGGGAGCAATGGGGGGGGTAGTTTCAGGGAGGCCGATTTTGGCTCCATTTAAGGAAGAACTTTACTATTTGAACAAGCCAAAAGTGGCCTGGCCTGCTTTGGGAGACAGTGGGCTCACCATCATTACAACTCTTCAACAAAGGTGCTACTTCCTAGGGACATTGTGCAGCGGATTCTTGGGCAGATAAGAGCCAGACTGGACGGTGTCTCATGGGAGTCCCCGCTCCCATCACTGCTGGGAAAGGAATGAAGCTCGGGTACAGAGTGGGGAGGGACTTTAGGTCATCCAATCCAACTTCCTTTGTCTTATGAATTTTACAGGAAAACTGAGGCCCAGAGAAGCTACTGGTTTGTGCACAGTTGTCAAGATAGTAGGGGGCAGATCCTCCAACTTCAGCTGAGGAGGCTGTAGTCATTCTGCTTCAGCATGGTACAAGGGAAAAAATGCTGAATTTAGTCAGAGGCCTTGGGCTCAAAGCCTGCCTCTGCCATGGACTGCCTGTGTGATCTGGAAGTCACTTTGGTTCTCTGAGCCTCAGCTTCTTCATCTGTAAAATGGGGCCTTGGGTTAGATGTCCTCTGAGCTCCCTTCCATCTCTAAATCTGTGATCCTGTGGCGTTGGACTCCTTCTGTTATATGGTTCTGTCTCCACATTGGGTGCTGGCCTCTGATGCCACTGGTTCTCAGGGGGTGTCCTGAGAAACTTCACTAGGACCAAACTTTAAAGAACATGAAAGAGAATCTTAGAGGGAGTCTGTCATATCCTCCTTTCTGATTTTCCTGGCCCTGGGTGGAGGTGGGGACGGAGGAGACATTGGGAGGAACTGCATAGATATATAGGCACAGGGAGGCTAGCATTTCTGTGCTTCAGTGGTAGAAGCAAGGGGTCAGGGTCAAGCTTCTCTCCCAGGCCCTCTGAGCTCTAAGCCAGGGGTGAGCAGATGTGTGGCTCCTGAGGGGCCAGGCAGGGGGCCAGCCGGCAGAGTCTCAGCTCCCTCCCCCACCCTGTAGGCACCTGCCTAAACAAGCAGGGAAGGCTCAACTGTTGCGTAGCTAGGGCCAGGGAAGTCTGGACCTGGAAGCTTCAGTCCCCAGACAGCCGAGATTTCCCATGGTGGCAGGAGTCTGAAGGGCAGGGCTTGGCCTGGCCCAGAAACCCCAGCTTTGGGAGAAAACAAAGAGGATGGAACCCTGTCTGTAGGGTGGCACCCCACCCCCGGATCCGGAATGGGCGGACAGCCAGGCAGAGGGCCAGAGGCTGGCCGCCAGGCTCTGACTCTGGCTTCAGCTGCCACAGCTCCACACTGGCCCCTTTGTGCCTGGGCTGGAGTCCCAGTGTGATAATATCAGCTGAGGCTCTAGGGCACCCCTAGGCCCAGGGTGCTCTGGGCGGGACCGGAACAGGGGGAGGGTGCCCAGGTGGGCCTGTGATGGATTGACTGAACATGTGGCATCTGTGCCTGAGTGAGTGTGTGTGTGTGTGTGTGTGTGTGTGTGTGTGTGACAGAGGTTGTGACTCTGTGTGTGTGTGCATTTCTGTGGTTGTGTCTGTACATCTCTGTATATGACTGGCTAAAGGAGTATGCATAACATAGTCTGTGAAGGGGTATATTCCTGTGAGGGCCGGTGCCAAGTATCTGAGGGCCTATCTCTGAGATTTTTTTGTTGGGGGAGGTGGAGACAGAGAAACAGAGATAAGAGGATGAGGAAGGGAAAGGAAGGAGAGGGATAAGGGAGGACAGAGAGAGAGAGAGAGAGAGAGAGAGAGAGAGAGAGAGAGACAGAGAGACAGAGAGACAGAGACAGAGACAGAGATAAGAGAGAGAAAAGAGAGAAAGAAACAGGAGGAGAGACAGAGAAGAGAGAGACAGAAGAGAAGACAGAGACAGTGTAAGTCTGAGAGTGGTGTGTGCGTGAGAGGAGCCATCCACCAGGCTTGCTGGAACAGCATAGCAGGTATTTGCTGTGGTTGGGATTGGTCTAAATGGCTTCATCCATCTCTGAGCCTCTGCGTGTGTAACCCTCATTAACCAGCAAGCATTTATGCGGCACCTTTTCTCTGCTAGATGTTGTGCTAGGTGGGAAAGATAGAAAGGCAACAAAGTTCAATGTTGAGGCACAGTAGATAGAATGGTGGACGGATTTGTTATTGTTGTTTGTCCTTTGATCTTGAGGACCGTGACTTCAGGAAAGAGTGTCATGACTTGCATGTGAATTGGATTTAAGTGAGCGAGGGCTGTGCAAAGTCACCGGCCTCACACTCTCCTCCAGAGCCATCTGGGGCCAGTGGCCAGATATAGATCAGGATGACTGGAGATAGATGGGACTGGAGTTTAGCCTGAGTTCAAATCCTGCCTCACATAGCTGTGTGAAGATAGGCAAGTCACTTAATTTCTCTCATGCTCAATGTCCTTATCTTTAATACTTCACAGGGTCGTGGTAGGGACCAAATGCTATATACATGTAAGTTTCTGCCCTCTTGGAGATGACATTCTATGAGGAAACTAGGGATATGTACAAGTAAATACAAACGCTATGCATAGTAAATGTAAGGATTTCAGGGGGAAGGCACTAGCCACTGAATCAGTCAATTAACAAGAATCTATTAATCACCTACAGCATGCCACGAATTGTAATAAGTCTCCATCCTCCACCCACGTACTAAAGGGATCTTCCTAAAGCACAGGTCTGGCCATGTCACCCACACACCCTTCCACACACACTCAACTAGGATCAGATGTAGAATCTTCTGTTTGGCTTTTAAAGTCCTTTAGCACTCTCCCCAGGGCAGCTAGGTGGCTTGGCAGATAAAGCACTGGCCCTGGAGTCAGGAGGACCTGAGTTCAAACTGACTTGACCCTTACTAACTGTGTGACCCTGGGCAAGTCCCTTAACCACTATTGCTTA